TCCTAAGAGTTTCAAATTCGTTCGATGTGTCTCATTTTAATGTGATAGGTGTCAATCGAAAGCTTATAATCTGATGGCGACAAATATTGGGTCGAAAGTTTGAAAAGTCCTACCATTTTGACGCCATGGGATCTAATTTCGACGATAAGAATAGCATTGTACTGAATGTCTTCCCGGTCGAAGTGCTCACAACCAACAATGAGAGTACGAGGAGTTGTCGGCAACAGAAGTTGTTGCTATGGTATCTGCTGGCAATGATCCTATGTCTTAGTTTGTCGCATTACCAGTCCCGTCGCCGGTTTACAACAGTGCTTCACGTAAGTTTGCAGTATTGAGTTAGTGCTCTATATTATTATTATTTCCAATTTCAATGTTCTCAAAATGTCACGACGCTGGTGGTGAAATCTAAACTATTCTGCGGCGGGATCTACTGAACGTGCGAGAAAGAGGGAAGTTCTAGAGTCACAGTCAGTGGATGTGCGTGCATGACGACATGCACAAAATTCTGCTTCGCAGGCTGCTTCCAGGAACAGTGTAACTGACGAAGAAAGAGCAGAAAGACATGCATGGAATGCTCTGATTCAACTTATTCCAGCCCGTGCGAGCATGGGCTTTTACACTAGTAAGTGAATAAACCCTAACTCGTACCGTGTTGATGCACATTGCAGCGCAATATTATAGAGCCAGAAAAAAGAGGCTACTTCATTTAGCGGGGAGTATTTCTTCGCCTCCCACAAATTACCAGGATTCAGTTGTTTAGCACCGAGGCGTGTCAAAATTCTTACCCCCCCCCCCCCCCCCCCCCCCCCAGGTTGCTCCGCAGGTGATGGATGTCCAATCCTCCCAAACTGATAGGTAGTTTCGGTTTTACCCATACTGGCCCCCCCCCCTCCCCCACCGCGGCATCCAATGTACATTTGAGTAAGTCTTAAATGTGAATGTGCATGAATTTGAGACGTGTCTTTGTTCTTCATGCGCAAGAAATCCGAAACCGTTTTCGACATCGTCGAATAGTAATCGGAATGCATTAGTCACATTTCCCAAGCCCCAGTCTCCCAATTTAAGACCTCTCATGTCCTCTCCCGACCTGGCCACACTGTACATGCTTTGTGCATGATGCTTTGTCACCCCAACCATGACGAATAGTCAAAGACTGAATTTGGAAAAGGATTTTATAAGAATTATGGCACTTTCAATGATTTCAGGAATTTCTTTAGACAGATATGGCAATAAGCTTCTCATTTCTGGCCCCTAGAAGTGTTTCAGGACAATTCCAGCACGATACATTTATTTCAAGTGCGGAGTAGGGTAAAAGACCCAGTGATGGACCGGTCCCCAGTGACGGGCCACATCACATAAAAATTCCAATAGCTTCCATAGTATGCCTACCCATGTTGTGACATAGGCTAGCAGCATTCCAGCACATAGACACTTCAGAGGTGGTAATGGAACAAATGCCTAGTTTTTGGAATTTTCCTGCGAAGTGGCCCATCACTGAGTACCTGCCATTAACAGGCCCATCACTGAGTACCTGCCATTAACAGGCCCATCACTGGGTCTTTTACCCTATGTGGTGTGAAAGAACGATGAATTTCGAACATGCAAAATTATTCTGCCCTTCTTCAGGTGGCACCAAATACCACTCACATTGCCAAAAAAAGGAAGAAACTTGTGAAATATCACACAGCTGGACTGACTTGCCAAATACATAGCGATACCTACAAAAATGAGAGAAGTCAGAAATATGCTTCCTCTCGTTTCAACAGAGGATGCAGTTGATTAGCTGCGAGTTCTAGTTTGGGAGGGAAGTTACCATAGGAAGTTACGTACACTGTTTTCGGATTGAATTGGTACCCCCCTACTGTGGAGAATGGAGAAAACACAAGCTTTCCAGACGATCCTCTAGATGTCAAGCCTGATGCTCCACATGGTTGTTGGATTATATTATTATATTATATTGGAACTATTAATACTTCACCTTCCACCCACAAGGTGTCCTGCCTGTACTTGATGGAAGCGCTCCTAGGGGGAGGTACCAATTCAATCCGAAAACAGTGTAGTAGTCGAGGCCTGCCTCTTGATCAGCAATCTGTATGATCCTTATCCTTCCCGCAATGTAACAGGCATGCTGTTCATTGAAGCACAGGCGAATGTTCAGTACATATTGTGGCACTCATCCCAAATATTCAGTGCCTTTGATTATCTTCTCCAAGGTAGAAACACGTCCGTGATGCAAGGAATGTAGGCACCCCTATCTGTGCCTGTATTAATTCTATCCTTCAGCGTGTGCCCTAGAGACTTCAGAGAGAAGAGGACAATGGCAAACCATGCTATAACATTGCAGCCCTTCATGTCAAGACAAATTCCCCCAAGTCATGCCTATCTCAGCGCGCATGGGAGGGTCTGTAGCGCTATTCCTCGCTTCCTGGAAAATGCCCTTTCACGTTCGGCAGTTCGACCAATTGAATGTCGAGAATCTGACGTACTCATTAATTCAACTAATTCGACGATTCACTAATTTCGATATTTTTCCTTCGACGAATCTACGCTAACTCAATGCTCTTGCTTCATGAGGTTGTGATGCCCGTTTAAGATCATGAATTTCACTCAGAGTGGTATCCGCACAGAGAGAAAATATTTCCGATTCATTTCCAAAGCGAGGAGTTGAGGATCTGATAGTGACCTGTCTGAGGCTGAGGTGTGTCCTATGAACTCAGGGTGGATTGCATGAAACTAATGCCAGCATTAGCCTAAAGCTGTACTAGCTAAAGGAGCTTTAAAGTGAGGCATTGCACAAAGTTACATTAGCTAATTGACATTAGCGCTTCCTAATGTGCATTAGCGACGCCGATGACGTGTATCGCAAGAATGTCGTCCGCTTCGACATTCTCAACGCTCAAAAATTGATTTTTTTCTAATCAATGCCCGCCAAAGTACGAGGGTGTGTCAAAAAGTAACAGGACATCTTTCGAAATGGTATCTTAGACCTTTTCCCAATTGAATTTGGCGTTTCAACCAAGGACGTAGTCAGGGGGTGTGACTTGGGTGTCTGGACACCCCCCGAAATGAAGCAAGATTTCATGAAACAAGGTGTATGGAAGTGGGGGGGGGGGGGGGGAGTGTGAAAAGTTTCACATATACAACTGAAGTTTCGACTTGTACTCCTATTCCACCTTTTAAATACAATCACTCCTGACCAATACGGTGTCCCCCATTTTGCTTCCATAGCTCCACCAGTTTTTTTTTTCATTTCAGTAGTAAACCATGATTCAGGAGTAGTTCTCACCCACTAAATTATGACTATATCAAGGTCAGTCTCTGACCCATATTTCTTTTCATGCAAAAAATTGTGACATTTTGGGAAGAGAAAGGGCTATTGAGAAAGGGCTATTTGAACTATGAGGTGGGTGGGGTCGAAGTCTGAAAGGGCTTTCGAAGTGTTCCTCATTCCTCCCAACCACACACCTTCCTCGGCCACTTCATCATCTCATGAGCATGAAAGCCTCATAAGCCTGAGAGCCTCACAAGACACACCCCCTGAAAATAATTCCTGGCTACTTCCCCGAGTTTCAACGAATTTCTTTATCTCGCATTACAGGGATGCAGGCAGAAAGTGTTTATGCAAATACGCCCTTTTTCCGTATCCGCACTGCTGGAACTTTTTTCAACCAGTCGTTCACCACATCTTTCCAGTTAAAAATCATAATTTACAAATAATACATCTGTAGATTTCAAATCAACTCGTCCCCAAAGAATGGCAGTTAAAATGTGAATATTCAGGACAAGACTCATTCACCAATTACTCATCAGTGAACCATTAATAATTTATAATATGGGCCTATTTCTTCCCCTTTCCTCCTATCTGGTTTCTTCCTCATTTTCACTTTCAATTCGAAAGAATGAAACTATTTCACTAAAATCGTTCAGTGACGCAGATGCTAATGAAATATTAATGGCGGCAGCTATATTGAAATTGTCAGGCAGTTGGTCTGCCGTGTAGTGTAAGCATAGGAAAATCTGCTTCTCCTTTGCTTAATATTACCTACCTGCTGATCACCCTATCCTACAACATCACCCCATGGACACGGATATAGAAAAAGGGCGTATGGGCACACTTAGGCCCTTTTTCTAGAGAACTTCTCAATAATGATTGTGAATGATTTAAAAAAAAAAACTTTAGACAGTGCTTCATGCATTGGTGAAAGCCATTCATTTCTATCTTTACGAGAAGTACAATTTTTTTAATGCACCAATCATTTTCGGACACCCTGTATGTCCAATTATGTTAGGCCAACAAATAGGTTTTATCCTGAAAACCACAAAGGACCAGTTCCCATCTGACGTTGATGTAGGACAAGCTTTCAGGTGTAATAAATCAATTACTCAACTCTTCCAACTCTCCAAAAGAAGTGTGAACTTTTTCAACTTTTCCGCTTCAAAAACGCTATTCACATCTCTACTGCTGACACTAAATGCTGACTGCTTCAGAATCCTGAAAGAACACCGTCAGAGCAAATTAGAGCAGTTAGAATACGTATATAGAAGCACAATTTTTTTATTGCTTTTTTTTGGGTAAACCTGGCAATTTTCTGCTGGATCTCGAAAGATTCCAAGCTCTATGTATTGTTTTGAGCCTTCATGAGCAAGAATTCATCACTTCCATGTCGTCTAGGCGAGTCTCGATCGTTACAGCTTGCATGGAACAAGCTGGTCCAGGTTGCAATCACAACCAGAGTCAAAAAGTCTCACATGACTGAAGTTCTCTCACTTTTAGAGCTTTAGTATTCAATAGGACAGCCGAATTTATTTTACTTTTAGTCAATAAGAATGAAGTTCTTCCTGTGGGGTTCAGGAACGTCAATTCGTAAACTGAAGGAGGGGCAACAGGGTCGAAGAGAGGCGAAGGGTTATGAGTAGGGTGAGGGTGATTCCCCTCAGCATACCCGAAATGAGTTCTTTGCACAAATGCATGAACACAAGTGAAACTCCAAGAAATTTTGACACAGGCGGTTCATTTCTCCTAAGCATAATACATTCACGATTCAAGAGTCACAATGCAAGGCCAGCACTGGATATCCTTGAAGAGAATCGTTCCTCCACTGAAAAGAGCATAAAAACCATTAAAGATACATCCAAACATCAAGTTGATACATGTAGCTTCTTGATTTTGAGATGTTCAGTAAAAGAAAATAAAGGGAACAACCTTGAATACACTTGCAAAAGATAACAAAATGATACAATTGGCTTTGATCAAAATCCTGCTTATGGTCATAAAAGATGATTTTAAAATATCTCTTACTTTTATCATGACACTTATTTTAGTTTTTCATGTTTGATATTGCAGAAGAGAATTTTAAACAAGTTCCTGAAAACAGTTAAAAATGATACTTGAGACATAATTCAACCTTTTACTGGGATTTTCCCCCCAATATAATGTCACCTTACATAGAATCATTTTGCAGTCTTGTACTTTTTTGAGTCTTCAAAAATAACATCTCTGAGGATGAGAAAGATTCCTCACCTTGTGGGAATGAGCGAAGGTCCAAGATTCTCAGTGGGTGACAGCGATTGTCACCCCCCGCAGCAATTGTAAGGGGATCATCAGGACAAAATTCCAGGCACAGAATGGTCCCAATTTTAACCTGTGTCTCTTGAACCAAAGTTGGGGAAGTGGATGAGACATCAAGGACTTTGAGGATCCCATCCTTTCCTCCAACAGCAAGACATCCAATGCCGGCTGGACTCAGTGCCAAGCCTAGTTGAGATGTTGAAATTGAGATGAAATTAAAGTCCTAACAGTCCTAATTTACCCATGCAGAATGAAAATTCATCTTTCCAAACCAGATGCTAAAGACTGGTTTATGTTAATAGCCCCATCTCCCTTCACCACACCAAAAATCTGTCTTAAACATAAAATAATGATGGTATCTCCCATGTGCGAGAAATCATGGTCTTGCTTACAAGGACACCTCGGGGAAGGGGAGTATCCCTGATCCCAACAGGGATAATACATTCTCTTCTGAAAATTGACCTCCTGGCAGAAACAGCAACCACAAGTAGTACACATTAAGTCCAGAACACAAGACAACACTGGAGGAAAGAAGAACTTCAGTCCCTCCCTGCAAGTTTCTGCCCTTTTCAGAGTGACTTTCCTCTTCAGTGTGACTGATTCTGAAGTATGATATGAAGATTTGCAATAAATGACACAAACTATAAAAAATATTCCCACTACTTATCCCCAGAGATGCAACAAGCTCAAAGTGAACCAAAGAGCTTAGGAAACTTTGGTACCAACTAATTAGGGTCAGACATGGGCTTGGGATGGACAGAAATAAAGGAGATCCATGATGCTTCCATCAATCCTTGTGAATTCATCCCTCTATCTGCAAGTTTAGATTTTGAGCTGGAACTACAAAATCATAGAGAACATTTTGAAACGAAGCCAAAGCAACAGAGCTACTGATCAATTATCTCTATAGCAATGCATTTAAATACCTGGGCATTGAACCATGTTGAATAAGCAAATCTGATGAATACCAAGGTGAAACCCATAACAATGATGGGATGGTTTATTTCAGATAAGGCAGTCCAGGATGGATTAGGGAAGGAGGTGGCCTAGGAGCCACACACATTTTTTAGGTTCAAGTTCTGTGAGCTGAGAAATTCACACACGTGAAAGTGCTATAAGTCTTCTGCAATTGGATATAATTAATGTGAATAAGAAAAATGTAAAATAGCCCTACTTTTCACAGTGCTATGACTAAAGCCTTGCAAGTTATGAACAGAACAATTTTACAATTTTTTTAACTATTCCCACCTCCCATCACAAGATTCTTTATCAATATATAGTTAACCCATTGACTTAAAGAGATGGTGACTAACCAGCTGTGTACCAGCTGTTATGTAAAAAGCCAGAAAATCACCAGTCTCATATGTAAAGCCATTCTATAAAAAGCTGGCAATTTGCCAGATATATATTTTTATCAATTATAGTGAAATTTCTCTAGATCAGTGGTTCCCAACCTTTTTTTGCTGCGACCCTAATTTGACCACCAACAGGACCTCCTGACCCTCAGGCTTGATACAATTTAAATATGTAAATAAATATACATACATATATATGTAGCTATATTTATTTGATTATATTGACCTGTTGCGACCCTACTGAGGACCCCCCGCAACCGTGATTTGGTTTGCAACCTGAGGTTGGGAACCACTGCTCTAGATGGTGCAGCAGTTATAACTTGTTCTGCATGTCTCATTCCTTGGAATAAAGCAGTGACAGAAGTTTTTTTTTTTTCATGGTGGTAGGAAATGTGCCCAGTAGCAGGTATGATCTTCAAGAGCAAGGTAATGGTAACATATTTCTGAAAAATGAAAAGTGAAGATAATGATATCAGTGATGATAGTGATGGTGAAAATAATGATGATAGACTAAATAATGATGTTGCATCAAAAGATGAGAGCAGCAGAAGTAATTCAGAAATCAAAAGTGCATACAGTCAGGTTAGTGATGATGTAAACAATATTCCGCAACCAAAGCAGTAGAAGTTTGACAATGATGAATGGAAATGGTCATTGATAACCCTAAGAAATTTGACTTTACTAGATCACCAAGAGTAATTCCAAGAATAGAGAGATGGCAACCCCCAATGATCCAACAAAGGTGAACTGTTGGACCCCATCAGCCAAAAATGCAAGGAGATCTCAAGTCTTCATCATATATGAACCAGAAATCTGGTTTGAACTGGTACCATCCAATGGGTGTCAGATCATCACTGACAAAATCCAGCATTTGACAAATTTATATGAAATGAAGCAGCAAAAGCTCCAAAAGGAGATTTCCAGGAATTTTTGGGGAACTAAGAATTGTTCACCTCAGTTTCAGCACAATAATGCTTGCATTAAACAAAATGCACATTAATATAGGTATGGTGCACTTGGACAGTGTATATTTAATGGGAATGCTACAGTGTACATGAGGCATAAAGGCAGTCATCAGGCCTCCACCATCTTCCATGTAATGGGTTACATTTTAGCATTGTTTAGGTCCTTCCAATTCCTACACAATCAAGAATTTAGACAATTTGGATTTAGATTCAGGACATCACACTCTTATGTAATTCAACAATGAAGGCAGGAAAAGCTGATTATTAAGTGATTTTAATGAGAGAAACAAATACTACCTATTAATCAGAATGCATGGCACAGGCATGTTAGAGTGCATCTGTTATATTATTGCCAAGAACAATGTAGGTTAGTTGTAATAATAGAGATGCATTCATCTCATAATACAGATTTACAATACATTGAGTTTCATGGGAATGTGAAAGTGCAGGATATGACAGCACTGGTACACTTAGCCATACATTGAAATTTGCAACTAGTTTCCATCAAGTGACAGAAAACAAAATCACAACAGCTAACCAGAAGTGGATTCCATGCATGCCAGACTCCACAGGGGCTTTTTCTGCCTAACATCACAGGAGTGGACCTTCCCCTTGTCAGTGCATACCTAGGGATAAAATCCAATCACAACTTTCAATTCATGCCATAAAGAGGCATATAGTTCAGATATAAGAATATACTGTTATTTAATTGATCTCAGCCATTTTAAAGATTGCTAGCATAACTAAAAACTAAAAGGTCCATAGCAGAACTGTATTTTACTTTTTTTTTGTCTAGTTTTGGGTTCATGTTCTATTTCCAAGAAAGGAAAAATCAGTTCAATGCTTTTCGATTTTTGCTTCAGGAGTGTACCCAAGAATGCAAAGAAAGATTGGTTTCACCCTTTTGTACGTATGAACATGAAGATGAATGTTCCAAATGTTTTTAGAAACTATGAAAAGTTACAAACAACATTAGGCTAAGTGAAAGGTTTAAATCTGTAACCTAGCAAGTAGGAGTTTCATATTAATGTGATCATCAAGAACATCAAAACCTAGGATGAAGTTTTTCTGCTAAAGTTGGTTGAACTCAGAAATTATCTGAAACAAAACAAAATTGTGCAATGAAATTTGGTATAGACTCTCTCAAAGATTGAACAAACAGAAACTAGAGAATTGTAGTAAACTTTTCAGTGGTAAAAATTCATTTTCACTCTGTGACTTGGCTGTTGCATCTTTAAGGGAAAGAATATCTAGTCAAACCTACCTTAAAACCTATTTTCATGAGACATAAAGATGCTATTACTGATGAAAATTGGATCATGAAAATCAGACTAAATTTTTTTTTTTGCATCTCTACTTCTTAGTGGAAGAACAACATCTTACAAAGAACTGATGTGTGCTGGAGTGATTCCAGATGGCCCGCTCCACTTCCTCACCATAGAATTCCCAACTCCTCACTGAGTCAATATCTCGGCCATCCACAACTTTTACATAACTGTTTCAAACAAAAAGCACATTTGTGGATTTTTTAAAATTATTCAAATTCAAAATACATAATTAAAACAGGAAATTCAAAGGCCCATTAAGGTAGGGTCAAATGTCCATCCAGGAAAGGCTTGGGCAACACTGTTAAATTTCTAGTAGTTTTTCTTAATTCAATTTTTGGGTTAATATGGATTGTACTACAAATCAACTTTAGCAAAATAACATTTCTGATGTATATGTAAATTAATACGTTCTTGGATTCATGGGGAAAAAATAGGGAAGATACTGCTGGTAAAACAAATGGAAAGCAAAAAATTAGAACCTAATTATTGTATTACAATAAGGATTTTTAAGAGCTCGATCCTTTACAATACAAGCAGATCACTCCTGCAAGAATTAGAATTTGTGATGTCAGTTGAAAACTTTTCATCCTGGCAAGGAGGATATTAAGCCTCCAGGAAAGATAAAAGTCATATTTAAATGACAGACCCATCACATGACCCAGTCAGGAGCAACTGTGACTCCTCAGGATGCCAGTGAAGAGTCTGGATTTTGTCAGCAAAGTCAGGGATTCCAATGGCAGGTTGTCCTGTCTCCAAGTCCCATACAAAGAGGGAATTATCAACTGAACCACTTGCAAGAGCTGTCCTGTAAAGCAAACAAAGCCCATTCCACATTTCAGCCCATCAAATACAGAAATGACTTTTGTTTAGTCCTTCAAATAACTTTTTATTCATTCTTCTAATTTCTTTTCATTACTCATCACCTTAAAGGGAGTCCAGTTCTATAAACCTTTTTCTTCTCCATTCAAGCATGAATTCCAGTCCAGATACATCAAGCTCAGGAGTTTAGTCATGTTCAACATAGTTCAAACTTATCAGTACCTGTCATACTCTTGCCTTAATGGACAGTTCTAAGGCAAACACATAGTTCAGATTGAATGGAGAAAGAACATCAGAACTCCAGCAGGTGCTCTGTGTGCAGCATCATAAATAATGCAGCGAAAAAAGAGATGTTACCATACACTGTTTTATCCAAAGCCAATGCCTATTTCTTGCATATGGAAATCTGAACTTTACATATAGCATGGAGAAAACCTAATTAGGCATTTTCCTAAACATGGCACATGCCCAGTGCTCAAAGGTTAGTGAGCACACACTAATAATGTTCAAGTGGTGTTAACTTGTTCAGCAAGGGGCAGATATAATGCTATCTCTACTCCTACTACATAGGCAAGCCATGCATTACATTATAACATTACTTTTGGATGTTGGTATATTAGATTTCCTCACATCAGCTGATATTAGTTAAAACCCAGTGGGACTAGAAAAAATATATTCTAGAAGCTCTAGTCTTACTTGAGGATAGAATTCCAGGCAAGTGAGAGGACTGGTTCCATGTGTCCACTGCACCTGGTCATTTTCTTTGCCTTCTTCTTTTTCTTTGTCCTTTGACCTTGCTTGACATCACCCAGGGTAAGCACTGGTTCAATGGCATTCATAACATCCAAATCCCAGATCTGAATTTCCTCTGACATCCCTCCCACTGCCACAGCATTTCCTGACAACATTGAAGCGATTGTGTGTGATTCTTATAGTATCATCATGTACCACAAGGCATACACTGATATAGGAAGTCTGAGTCAACACTTCTAGGAGAAAGCATAACAAATAACTACATGAAATTCCTTAGACCTCAGTTATTAGTATACTATGTTAATAACAAGACATGGAGTTGATTCTAACAAGATTCAACTACGATAATGTCACACCTTCATTAGCCCAAGTTCCTCATTCTCAGAATTTTATACAACCAAACTACATTAACCCTTAATTGTATGAATGATAAAAATTTGGTAGAGAAATGTCTTAGGTCAATTTCATTTAGTTTGAATCTTTTTTTTAGATTTCATTGTGAATTTTTTAGAGAGAAGCAATGGTTTGTAAGATACAGGTTTGGTACCCCATTAAGCATCACTGGACAAAATAAACTCAAAATAATTGTTCTTTATCAATGTTCTCTCTATGTCAATTGTCAAGTATCAACCCCTTAACTGGGAAGTTTTCATCAAATACATTTCAACCTATGAGAGGCCAGGTGTCAAAAGATGTCTAACCCAGTAAAGGGATTGAGTTTCTGGCCCCACATGAAAATTCCAAAAGAATAGTGAAACAAGAAATGATTAAAGTCATAATGATCTGAATGAGGCTTACATCATACATGAATATAAAGAAAAAACACTTACGAACAGAGTCTTCAGACTGGCCCAAAGAAAGCCAATCCAAGGCCAAGGGAGTGAACCCCAAAGTTATGTCATGATGGACATATTCACTTCCCTCTTCTGGATTGTAGACTGAAAGATGCAAACAGATGGGGATTAATTGACTGACAAAAATTGAAGGTGAGACATTATTGTTAATAAGCAAACCACCCAAATTGCATACATTTCTTCATTAGGCCAATTAAAATTTAAAATTGACTTGTAGTTGTAATTTCCCCTTCATATCTAGCAGCAAAAATTAATTTTAACATTAAAATGATACACGCAATTTTTATTTGTCCTCTGACATTTTCCAATGTCATGGAATGCTGAAATAAATAAATGAATGCATGAAGTTGATTGTTCCATATTTCCTCAAAGTCATGATATGTAGGATAGGGTGCAGTTGCATGGCAAAGCTGACATTAGGCTAAGTGTGAATGACAGAGTAGAGATGTTTGCAAGACATACAATGCTCCTTTGGCAAGGGTAAGTGTAAGCTGTACTTTCTGTGACCATCAGACCTTCAATATTGCACTGATAAGTAACCTTGGCATTTTCTGAACTGACTGTGGCTTTGTGAATTTCAAAATTCTTGCTGTGATATCTTGAAAAAGCCCAAATACAAGTGAATGAGTATATTTGTGCTTAATTTGCCAAATGAGAAGCTGAGATTACTTGAATCAGTCATCAACATCCTGCAAAAGAATGATGAAAAAATGACGAAGTTATTGGTTATTGCTATTGGTACTGGTATCAGGCATAGGAGAATAAGCAGAGCCATATATCAGAAATTAGCCCAAATGTTCATGTTGGTCCATCCCTATTTAAAAAACATTTTTTTTTATCAGAGATAAAATATCCATAACAGGAAGACTTGGGAAAAACAAATGCAGTTGAATATAAAATAATATATATATACTTGCAATTAGAGTTACAATTCACTCCTTGGATGATTAACCATATCTCCAAGCCAGTGGCATAGGCAGAAAATCGGCAAGGGGGGGGTGGGGGGGGTTGAGGCCAGGTAGACACTCCAACCCTACACTTAGCTCCACCACTGGGAATTTACCTTTTTGAAGAAATCGTGGTCTGACATCTTGGGTCTGTGGATGGGCATTGGATCCCTCAAAGGGGGATAGCTAAAACTGGAATTCCCAAGGAAGGCTGAAATATGCTAGACTGTCACTGACCAGGAAGCCCAAGGGGGGTGGGGGGGGGGGGGGGGTTCTGACCCCTTCCCTACGCCACTGCTCTAAGCCCATGATGAACAACAATTATGCAGTATTGTAAAAGAAAAAGATGCAACAAGTATAGCTTTATTTACACTTTTCCATGGCAGCAGAAAAGTTAGTTTTCATGGACTGGGAGGAAATGCATAATTTGCAAGTTATGGGGCTGGGAGCTAAGTGGCTAGTTCTGAGATTAAATTTAGATTCCTGATTCCTGGAATAATTGGAGCAAGGGAAAAAAGTCAAACCATAAATGTCAAGTGAACTGCAATCCCCATCAACATGTCCTGTCACTAAGAAGTTATCAGAGGGTCTGACTCTGACATCCTCCTCATCCTCGATGTCATCACTGTATTGTGATGCTGTGTCAAGTAAAGGATCATCCTTCGAGGAGGCAAAGCACACAAGATTCCCAAATCCAATCCCGCTTCCTGATGCTCCTAAATAGACCAGACATGGTTTTGATAGACATATAGTAACCAGATTCTACTACTACTTGCATTTCTAACAGTATATTTTATCCATAAAGAAAAAACCCAAATACCTGCTTCATCTTCATTATCATAATCATCAAGTCCATATTTCTTTACAATGTCATCAACTGACTCTTCATCTTCTTCCATTCGCTCACTTGCTTCATCAACTTCCTCATCTTCATTGTCTTCAACAGCCCTGCAAAGAAATAAGACCAATAGATGAGAAATCAAATTTGGTCATAGGTAGTCATAAGCATTGGTAGCTAGCAATCCTACCAATGGTGCAACACTGGTAGCTAATACCAGTGGTTGCCTATACATCAGTACATCCCTAATAAACCTTAAGAGAAACATAATTAAAATGTTTAAGTTTATAACATACACCCCCACTAAAATATTTGGCATTTTTCAATTCAGAATTTTTTGTCATACTACATGTTTACATGGAGAGTTTTGAGCAGCCTGCCACTTCATTGAATTTAAGGAAGCATAAGTCCTAAATCCACTATGGCTGTGACTACCAAAAAAAGCTGAATATTCTATATATGCATAGTCATGCCGAAAACTTACTCCAAGTCTCCTTTCGTTTTATCAATGATTCTCTTCAGTTCATTTGCAGTCAGCTCCACCTAGGAATGTAAATGAAAGTAAGAGGTTTACACTAAGCATATAAATTTTTATATTACAGCTTTCCAGATACAGCTTAAAGTCTACACTTGACACAAGGTCTTAATGTCAGGCATATAGACCTCAAGTTTTAACATCTATGAGTTAATTCAACTCCGGAAGGCTTACCTTGTCTGGATTTTCTTTAGGAATCCCTCGTCTCACCCACTTTATGCAAGAAATGAACTGAGGGCGTGGAACACCTTCCTTCTCAGTCTCCATATATATTTTTCAGGTTTGGCAACCTAGGGCTTATTCATGAAATCTATAATTCATCTGCAAACATAAAATTTCAATGACATAAAACTTATGAAGAAGCCTAACTCACATAATCAAAAAGCAAGCGAGCAAATGCTGGTAGGTCTAATCCAATGCTATTTTATAGGGCAATAGGTTTCACCTCAATGTCAACTACCTTACATATGATATACACCTCCTGGTATCCTTTGCTATGATTACCATGGCAACACAAACTTCATTATGTGAACACCATAATTCCATATGGAAGCCATCCTTCCATCCATCATCCCTTATGTGTACACCTGTGGTTCACAGCAGTCAGGAAGTATTTCATCATAGGATTCAGCCAACATTATTGGCCTTAAAGAGTTCTCAGATTAAGAATGGGAATGGAAATTGGACCATGAATGAGAGTGGGCAGGGCAAAATTACCATTCCCTCACTACTACTCATGGTGAAATTGATGAGTTCATCCTGCTCCTATCCTTATTCCCTGCCCTCAGATGAAATTCTACAACTTCTCAAATGTTACAAAAGATTACATGGAAAGCAGTGGGTTAGTCCAGAATATTTCAACCATGAATTTGCATCCAAATTTAAACCCTCCCCTCAAAGTGGCCTCAAAGTAAATCATGGGCCATTCACTTAACACAAAAAGATTTATAAGCTATATTGACTCCTTTACCTGAATCAAATTTCCTCTCTGCATTGCAACTCAATTTAATTAGTGGGTTGGATCATACAGGATGTCATCTTGATAATTAACCAACCCAGGCAGGCTAGGGCAAGCCAGTGGCTCTTTGGCAAGTCAATCATTTGAAGCAGACTTGTCTTTTTCCATTTTTCTTCTCTCACCTTATGTGACCACATTAGTTTCAATTCATTCTAATCATCAAACCATCCCATACTGACATTTGGTGTACATGTCTTCATGTGAATAGCCATGGATATGTTCTTAAATTTGGGTCCCACTCTCTTTCTCATGAACATTAGAAAGAACCAGGCAATTAGTAAAAGGACTTAAAGAAACTAAACTTCAAATGTGACTAGAAATAAGCAGGACACTCCATGGCAGAGTTAGGATAAAGTCACAATTGTTAATACACATTTGAAGGGCTTCCTGCCTATTGAGAGCTTGGCCGTTAGATGGCTCAGCGACTTCAAATGAATTACTAAAGTCATATTGATATGGTTAAGTAACATGTACAGTAAGAAAATGGCTGCAAAATGGGATGGTTCATAAAAGGGAGCATGGTGTGACTTGCCCAGGGCATGTTTTGCCATTGGGTCTAAGCTTAGGAGGGGCCTCAGGCTGCCTTGGAAATCCTCACAAGCTCCTTAAAAGACTATGGCTATATCTTTCAGAGGAGCCCTCGTTATAAACACTTATTAACTACATAGCAGTGCCTTAGAAATGGCATAAGTTCAAATGCCGACTGAATACGTAAGTCATGCAAAGCCACATCTTCAACCCTAATAGCTACAGACGAGCCTATGTATAGCTGAAAATCAGAGCCTGACTTAGATCTGGTGACTGCAATTTCCTGTTTTCATGGAACAAATAGGGAAAGAAACTTGGCTAGACACAACCAAGAGCGTCTTGACATCTCTTACGATGTAGGCCCACTCCACGTGTTCGACGGGGGTATGAGGGCTGCCATGCTTGAAGCATAGTGGGGTTACATGCAGCTCTTACGTATAGAGGGAGAAAAGGCATGACGGAACAGTACGATTGTGTCATTCCTTAACTACATCCCTCAATCCCTACCAGTTTGGGCCCAGCCTCACCGTTACCTTACGAGAAACATATCTACATCCCTCAATGTAGCCATAAAGCAGCCAGCCAAAGGTATTTTTACCAGGCAGTGACGGAAACATAAGTTATTCGATACCCACACAGCACAGTGATATCCCATTTAAGACGGGGGACTCGAGGGAGTGCACGAACTACCGTGGGATCACTCTCCTCAGCATACCTGGTCGGTGTCATAGCCAAGGTATCGCCAATGGGGGGCTAAGCGGAACGGTGGGGGGGCTTACCTCTCTGGTGGGGGGAGGGCGGATGTATTTAGACGGGAGTTGGGGGGGCTTGAACCAAACTTGGGGAGCTGAACCCCCCCTCGCTACGCCACTGTACCTGGTAAAGTCTATTCCAAAGTGATGGAAAAGAGAGCTCAGGCAGTCGTGGGTTAAGCCATCCAAGATGAGCAGTGCGGCTTTCGTAGGGCACCACGGACCAGCTGTTCACTCTCCACCAGATCCTCGAGAGACATTGGGAGTATGCCAAATATGTTTACATGTGCTTTGTAGACCTCGAAAAAGCGTACGACCGTGTACCCTGAGGAAAGCTGTGGGGAGTGCTGCAGGAGTTTGGGATCAAGGGTCAGCTATTGTGGGCCATTCAGTCCTTACACAGCGATTGCAGGAGCTGCGTCCGAGTGAGCGGGAGGAGTTCGGATTGTTTTATGGTATTCGCTGTACTCCGGCAGGGTGGTGTCCTCTCATCTCTCATCTCATCTTTCCTGTTCCTCGTGTACATGGACAGGATCTGTAAGCTCATCCTCGGCCTGGAGGGGGTCAACATTGGTGACGTCGCTACAAGGCTACTTCTCTTTGCCGACGATGCCGTCCTTTTGACCCGCTCTCGACAGGAGCTCCGGAGCGTGCTTGATCGGTTCGACTCCGAATGCACTGCCGCCGAAATGAAACTGAGCGTCCCCAAGACACAGATACACATCTTTTCATTCGACCTTCTGTCGAATTCTTATCGATATCCCGAAAGGGGTATCTTTAAGACATCCTTAGTTGAAAGCTTCCGTATATCACGTAAGGAATGTCTTTAACCCTTTGCGGTCCATTTTTTTTAGAACGCTCCCAAATAGCACGTTGCGTTGGGCCCACATTGGGTAAAGATGGGAAACGTTGGCGGAACGTGAATGTTGGGGAACGATGTTGGCCCAACGTGGGCATATCCCCACGATGAGAACTGCAGAACCCCTAGTGGAAAACTTCAATATCTTTAAGTTCTTCGCCAGGCCACTAGATGGAGGTATGGGTCTCGCTTTTCGCACAGTGCACAAAAGTTCCCTTCCATCTTTCCCTGGAATCGTCCTTCGCAGGATTGTTTAGTACCTCGCCTAGTCTCATTATAGGAATCAATAAACACGGACACTTCACCATGTGTTGTCCACGTATTCAAGATAGATTCATGAGGCCCAGGCCATACACAAGCTCATATTCCCGATGAGAACCGTTTCAATAATCATTGAGATCGTTACTGATTCGGAGATCTAGATCATTAAGGGGGCATCCGTCAACTCGATTCGCTATTTTCCCAACTTGAGGGCAGATTGAGGAAATAACGATTGACATCGCGGATATTTAAGAGCCCCATGAGATGGATTATCCTCTTACATATAATGAGTGCTGTCAGGGGTAGGTCAACGGCTGTACTGTCCTATGTCTCCTGCTTATTTAGGGCATATAAACATGTCCATGGTAGGTTGTAATACATAATACAGGTTCCGTACTACAGATGGGAATACCCCCACTGGATATGAATTTAAGTATATGGTGCAAATTCATGAGGGCCAATATAGAGCAAAAACCAGCAACTTGGGTAAGTTGGTTAAATGTTGTCATGGTGAAGCAGAATTCCTCACAAGCCGCAAGTGATAAGTTTCAATCGCATCAGCTGCTTTTATAAACCGATGATAAGACTTGGCTATCTTCAGAAATGTATTGTTCTTTCGCCTGATAAGACAAATTTTTTCAATTGTACTGTTATACAGGGAGGGCCAGAAGTAAGGAAACACGTTTGAACTCTAACAAAACTTTCATGGAAAAGCAATCGAACTAAACAGTGGTACACACAAAAACACATGTTTATGAAGTATTGAAAGCCATAAATATTTTCATGAAAATTGTTGTATTTGTCAACTGTTTTTTTTTTTACAAGTACAGTCTTACAGGTAGTAATAGGCAAACTCACTGGCAATCTCCACATTGTGACAACAATAGGATCCCTGACTGCAGAAGAGTCCTAGGGTTCATCTCATGCAGAATGCCTTAGATTGGACTGCAGAAAAATAAGTCAGCTGGAGTCAAATTCAGAGACCATGCTGATCAAGCATGTGCAATGAGCCAGAGCCCTATCTTGCATTAAGATTTTATTTCAATTCATTTCAGATGCCATGGTAGGAATGATTTTTCCATTCAGCTTTTTTGTAATAGCAGTCTGCCATGTTTATTCACGATAGTGCTTCAACCCATCATGCTCACCTCATTCACGATTGCTCAGACGAAGATTTCCTGGCGGCTTGGCCGATCGATTCACCAGCATGGTCTCTGGATTTGACTCCAGCTGACTTATTTTTCTGCAGTCCAATCTAAGGCATTGTGCATGAGATGAACCCAAGGACTCCTCTGCACTCAGGGATCCTATTGTTGTCACAATGTGGAGATTGCCAATGGAATCATGCCAGTGAGTTTGCCTATTACTACCTGTAAGACTACTTGTAAAAAAAAAAAAACAGTTGACAAATACAATAATTTTCATGAAAATATTTATGGCTTTCAATACTTCATAAACATGTGTTTTTGTGTGTACCACTGTTTAGTTCGATTGCTTTTCCATAAAAGTTTTGTTAGAGTTCAAACATGTTTCCTTACTTCTGGCCCACCCTGTATATGAGGTAACCAAGAACTTTCAGAACAACCCTCGTATACCTGACAGCATATCACACTTGACAAATTTTAGAAGCAACAATAGCCTTCATTATCCTAAGTTGAGAATGAGGAATGCCCCATTTGACAAGTTACTGTGGGTTTCATGTAATAAAATGCCTCTATGGAAATGAAGGTATTGGGATTGGCATTTCTTTATGGCCAATGCACATCTGGATGAAGGAATAATGGCAGAAAGCAAAACACAATCTATAGAAGGGGTGCCCAACATGGATATGGGGAGGTCCACCAACTGTATGTCATGGAAGTCTGGCAGTCCGGACATAAAATTTTAAGCAAGAGCTTGATAATCTCTACCACCCTGAATGCTTCTTATCAGGTTATTGCTACACAGGGATGCAGGCAGAGAGGCAAGAATTGTGGATAAAAAATCATAGGAGACTTGGAGGGTCAGCAGTCTGGATCCAGACTGGTTGAGCACAACTCCACAGGTTGAGCACCCCTGATCTATAGCCATGCAGCAATGAAGTAAGCCACCAGTTCATTCTAACAAAAAAATCCACAGAATGGTGCTTTCAACAACAGCTGTTAGGACAACAACCATACATCATTGCCTTCCAAAGAAAATATTATAGCCAAATTTTTACTTCCAAAAAATATTCTTTTCAAGGAATGAAAACAATGCATCTCATTGGTGTTTCCCATCAAGTAAACCTGCCAAGAAGTGATTCCTTGAAACAAAAGAAAAACTTCATTCTAAATGAAGACTAGAGAGTTGCAAAATGTCTTCATTCATCCATGAACAAAAGCGATTAGAGGACAAGGAACTAATAAAAAAGAAACAAAAAATACAAGGTAGTCAGAAAGCAAAAGGCAGAGGAAATCTGTTGACCCAAAGGATGAATGAGAGCCACCGACAGTGATCCCCAAGTAGCAAAGAGGTTTTACTCATGATCATGTGAGGAAATCACACAATAAAAGTATATTACTCACTGACCACATCTCTGCATTGTTCTAGAACAAGTGATCATTCCAATGCAACTTGATCAGTTCTGCAGCATAAACTGAACTGAACACATTCCATGTAGGAAGGAGATGCTTGACAAACAAAAACCTGCACCCAAGTCTTCGTCAGAGCTGAGTGTAACAGAACTTACACAAGAATAACAGTTTACAAATCTGGAAGCATCCTGAAAAGTATCTCAGTCAAACTACAATGCTTTTCCAGGGAAAGTTCAAGATAGGTCTCCACACTTCAATGCTTCATCTGGCAAGATGATCAAAGCAGGAAAGCACAATATGATCCTTGGAAGACAATAAGAGATTTCTCTCATGCACTCTTCATTGAGATCTGGTGTTGGCCTGGCACCATGGCACCTGTAAAACAAGGGACTAGAAATTAAGTTATGCAGCAAAAAGAGACCTATGCTTCACTCTTCCAGACAAAAAAGGAATTCCATCCGGTCAGAGAGAAGATAAAGAGGGTTCACAAAGTACAGGGTGGCACAAAAGTCACATACAAAGGGGATTTTACAGTTGCACTAAATCATTTCTTGTTTCTTTCTTTGCAGGTAAGTAATGTCTGTAAAATTAACAAAGAGAAGAGAGTGGAGTTAAGATACATTCAAACATCATGTGTACAGTGAATCAAAGTTTTTTTCAAGTTAATGGCAGATGATTTGAACATTTACTGTGATCTAACCAATGGTGTGTGACTTTTGTGTCACCCTGTAGATGTTACCTGATAACCAAAGCATTTTGATTTTATACAGGGAGGTCCAAAAAAATTTTTACCTCTGAAGTGGGAAAACCTTGTTATGGTATTGAATAGTTTCAAATTCAATTGCAATGTCATTGTATTTATGGCTACATTCTAGTTTAAATGTATATTAATGCATATAATTTAATTTGGTATTTAAAACTTGGTATTAAAGTATGATCTGTCATTCCAAACTTGCATTGCTTATTCCCAGTTGGTGGTAAACTTTTTTTGAACCACCATGTTCTATACCATAAATGAGCTGCTCTAACTTCATCAATCAGACACAGCACTGTCAGAGTGGAGAGTGAGCATGGCAATACTAAATATTTTGTATATAGAAAGATCCAGCTTTCCATTAGAACACCTCTTCAAATATTTGCATTACCAACACAAAATTCCAAAGCTATTGTATTTATGACAAGCACACAGAATTAGTATATATAATAGCTGAAGATTTACAGCTTTATTGTGATGGCACCACTATATGTTTAGAGCCACTGAATTTTCAGTTTCATTGCTTAAGGAACTTAAGTGAGTATACTCTTCTTCACATGCAACAGTTTCAACATGGTCACAAAACTGAAGCTATGATCATTCTGTCATTGAATGATTTAACTGATTATTCAGGTGTATCACTTGAACTTCCCATCCATACATTTATGAGAGAAACTTTAGTCCTGGATGTAAAATATGAGACAATGTCACTAAAAGAGAGAATTTTTATGCATGGAACGTCATGGCTTCTACACTAGAGAGAAATCTAATTTTTTCTACACTTTTATTTGTGTTCATCATCCTTATTAATAACCTGTTAATGTCATTAGCTACTAGATGCACCCAACGTCAAACAGAAAGAATAGTATCCAACAGTTGACTTCTCCATGAAACAAAGAAATGAAATACCTCAGATGGCATCATCTTCCTCCATCTTTGCCTTCTTCTTCTTCTTCTTCTCCTTTTTCTTCTTCCTTTCAACTTCTTCATCTTTTACCTCACCATTCTGGGATTCTGAGTCACTCCCTGCCTCCCTTTCTCGCTGTGGATTCAGATAAATATTTTATACATTCACAAATGCTCTCAAATGAAAATGTAAAGAAATTCAAGCAATGAAAGCATTTTAAAAGATCTTAATGATAAACAATGTATATTTAATTGGAATAATATGAAGATATCAAAAAAACTTTACTTGCAACGGGTCTTGTTGACAAGAAACTTTATGCAAAGGGACTTTTCATCAAAGGTCTATGAGCAAAAAGTTTATTATTACAAGCACACTGGCACATCCTTTTTATCAGTGCACATCGATATTGGTGAGATTTTATCCAACATTATGCAAATATGATACAATAAGTGAAATTCTGTTGCAGAAATATCTTTGTCTTGTGTGAACCATCAGCCAGTAATGTCAAGAAATTAAGGGCTTTGTATGCTTTTAGAGGAATTGCTTGAACTCAAGAACTTTGAGATAGATGCTATGCACAATATTTACAATATTTAAAACCCCCTGATATACCTTTATTGGCATTGCTACTGACAGGATGCTATGTTGATAAATTGGATATACCCTGTCACTCTTTGACATCATTGCCCCTCTATTCGGAACTTCACTCCTTTGCATTTTCTATCCAATTTGCCAAACACACTCTATAAAAGTAATAGATGCCAGTTGTTCTGGACAAAAGACTGACCTTTCTTTCAACTGGTTGAGATGGTGCTTTCACTGGCGTGGGAGACTTTTCCAGCACATTTCCGCTTCCTGCCTTCAAGGGATCTATGATCCTGAAAATATTGACATAAGCTACTTTGAGGAGATATCAGGAGTCACTTTACATGGTTGAACCATGTGTACTTCTTTGCATGTATGAATAAGCTGCTATGTCAGGACTCCCCAAAGTTATAATTCATTTTCATAACTTTTCCAAGTTTTCCAGCTGCTTTTCAGGATATTTTCCCAGATAATAAGATGCATTTTTATGTATAGCCTCAAGGGTATAACCCATTGTCAGCAAATGATATAGCATATTGCAACACTTGGAGTGATTACTTGAACCTTATAAGGATGAAACATCCACAATGGTGCAATACACCACACTCGGCATCCTCTGCAGTCCCCTCAGGGTCATTCCAAGTCAAATCAACACAAAAAAATGAAAATTTGACTTGCCCCCCTCCAATTTCCATGAAATTTGTTGAATTTGTAGGGGCTATAGAAAAACTATCCCATGCGAAATTGCAACTCTCTACCTCAAGTACTTCCAGAGATGTAGCAATTTTAAATTAGCAAAAAATAGCAATTTTGGGTCAAGTTGTCATCATTTAAATGCACATAACTTTTGTTCTAATCAAGATAGAATGCTGATATTGGTATCATTATGAAGGTCTCTTCATGTACTTTCAAATGATATGTCATATAAGGACCTTCAATGAAAAAAATAAAGGTTTGATTGGACCTTTGACCTTTAATTACAGAAAAAGGGCATTTTTATTTCCTTCAAAAAATTACCATACTATTGCCAATTCTTTTTGCATAAGTACTCAAATTTCAACTTGGGACTGCTATGGGATCAGGAGATACAAACAGTAGAGGTGTTCCAGCTCAAGTGGTCAAATTTTAGTCACTTTCATTTGGGTTCAGACTCCAATTTGGTTGAAGAAATTATTGCATGCTGGCAATCAAAACTTATGAAAAAATCCAAAATTTTGGCTCTCTGGTGCTACAGGATCTCGAGATATGCGGCCCCAAACTTCGCCCCCAAGAGGAAAAGTGGGCTTTAGGATGAAAGCTTTATATTTGATCCTAGTCGAGCTAGAAGTATGTTTTTGGACTCTAAGTAAAGATGAGACCATGTAGAATCGCATTATTAAATGCATTTTTTTACTGCGTTTATTAGAAATTGAGTTATGCAATTTCCAAAATTGTGAATATTGCAGAATTTTGCATGCAAATTATTAGCACTAAGATGCATTGTAACACCACGACCTTTTGTAACATTGTAGACTAAGACAGTGGCAATTTAAGAACTAAATTTCAACTTCCTATGTTTCTTGAAACAACTTAAAATTAAATTTGAAAAGTCCAAAATTGTCTATTTTCACTGACTTTAATGGTTTGTACTTCCTGTTTTAAACAAGATATAAACTTGTAACTAGTGTCAAATGAAAGCTCTCTCCAAGCGCTTTCCATTGATACATTGCTCGTGTTGTTACTTTTACTTTTCATGCCTGTGTATTTTTTTGAACTTTTGGATTCCACAAATTCCCAAACGAAAGGTATGACTGAAATTACAACAATGGGAATCTGGAATCAATTTTTGTTAATCCAAAAATGTTGGATTTTTTCATAAGTCTTTTGATTGCCAGCATGCAATAATTTTTCCAACCAAATCGGAGTCTGAAGCACGCAACCACCCCTTGATCACTTGAGCTGACTGATAGAAGGTGCATGAAAATCCCCATACAATTGCCTAAAAGCAAAAATACCAGTGACTGTTAACTGACAACAATTTGTTTAAAAAAGCATAATTCAAACTAAAACCAGACAAAGCTGAAGGATACCCCATTATTCATGAATGAAGCTTTCCAGTTGCAAGATCATTTCACAGGACAGTAACTTTATCTTCTTTTGAAACACATAAAAAGGAATACACTTTGGTGGGAACATTTTCCTCATCTATGGAATGAATGAATGAATGAATGAATGAAGCTTTTGTATTCCAGGATTTGTGGGTTATTGCACGAATCTTTTTTTCTAGGAACTTAGCCTCTCTCCTTTAATCTTCCAAGCTGCAATACTTAAAGAATGATTGGGGTATTCTCAGTTGCCAATTGGAACATTTGGTGAAGAGTCATTATTTCTTGGTTGTATGGTCATTGGAGACTGGCACTTGAAGTCAACCTCTTTACTGCCCCTCCAACTCCATCAAACACTCCTATTCCATGGCAGGTGGCTGAGAAGTGCCTCTCACTATGGTTTTCCAAACCAAAGCCTGCCTCATGATGGCACAGGCTGAGGAAAATTTTCTGATTTTTGTAGTGCGAAGCAGATCCATTAGAGAAGTAGGAGATTTATAGTGGAAGAGAACCAAATTAATCCTTTAGGAAGTCTGGATGCACTGAACTCATGTTGGTTTTTCTGAATTCTCCAACTTCATGGAAGTACTGTCAGGACTTGTACTTTCTCACTTCTCTCTGTGGACATGCAGAATTTTTCTTTCAATTGGCTAATAATTTCATTTTCTGTTAGCCTTTGATCATCACCTCCATCAACTGATTCCACATTAAGTAACTTCCTCTTCAGAACACCTGCAACCTTCTTCAACTTCTCCTCTGGATACTTGGCTTGTGTGAGCTTATGATAATAGGAGACTCTCCAATCGAATGCAAACTTTGATAGATGAATTCTAGTGTTCTATTTTGCTCATAAGAGATCTTATCAACCAAGTTAGTATGGTTCCTTGGAATAGGCTCTTATTGACTTGACATGAATGATGATGTACTCAACACAGTTCCTGATAACACTAATATTCAGGATATTTTCTTCCTGCAATCATCACATATATTGGCTCTAAGTCAAAGAGTAGGGAGTTTGTTACATATCCATGGCAAGACTGGCCTCAGATTCTTCTTAGATGAATATTTGCTTTGCCAAATGGGTTGCAATAGGAAATCATCTTCTGCAGTTCATCCATCTCTCTCATTTCCCAATCAGGGACAATGAGGATGAATAGCACATCACATCACAAGGTGGTGCATAACAACTTAGAAACTGGGACATAAACTGGTGAAACAATGCTGAGGGAGCCAGTAAATAACCAAAGGAGAGTGCAATTTCTAGAACATTTTGGTGAGAACTTTGGAACCTCTAAAACTTTCCAGAATGTTCCACCATTTATTATGGACACTTCGAACACTTGAATAACTTCATAGAATACTCCTGATGTTCAGACAACTCTATTCTGAATAAATTTTGCTGAAATTGGATGTATCCAGATATATCTAGTACATTCTCTTCAGAATTTTGGTCCCTTGCCGCCACATCCTTGTTCGTATCTCCTGATCCCATGGCAGTCACAAGTTGAAAATTTGAGCACTTTTAAGTGTTAGAATGAAAGAATAGATTATAGTATGGTAATTTTTCAAAAGAAATAAAAATGACCTTTTTTCTACAATTAAAGGTCAAAGGTCAGATCCTTTGACCTTTATTTTCATTAAAGGTCCTCAAACGGCATATCATTTGAAAGGACATGAAGAGACCTTTAAAATTACACCAATATCAGCTTCTATGTTGATTATAACAAAAGTTATGTGCCCTTAAGCAATGACGACTTGACCCAAAATTGGTCCCTTTTTGCCACTTTCAAATTGCTACATCTCTGGAAGTACTTGAGGTAAAGCTGCAATTTTGTTTGGGATGGTTTTTCAATAGCCCCTACAAGTTCAGCAAATTTCATGTAAATCAGAGAGGGTGAGGTAAATGGTTGTGTTGCATTGACATGGACCTCAGCTTTCAACCTTTCCCTTCATCATGGATAGTTGGTGCAATATTTGACCTTTCCTTTACCAGCATAATTTCCTGACTGTTTTCATTTCCCTGACTCTTCCTGGAACACAAGTCAATAGGAACCCTTTTCACATGCATGAAGGTGTTTAGCAGAAAAGACAGTGACAGTAACTCACCGATAGTCAACATATTTGTGCAGCCATTCTTGGGGAGTATTCTCATTAGCCTTTCCATGTTGATCCAACAGTCCACCAACAATCATTTTTTTCTTGATGCTAGCCTAATTGAAGAACAATATCAGACTTCTAACTGGTGATTTAGAGAGAAATTTCCATAACAAACTTAAAATTGCTTCATCTGATCAACTACACATAACCAAAGAGGTATGCACTCGAAGATTCCACTAAGTGGCAGGTTACCTAACTTCTTCTCAAATACACTTTCAAATACATCAACTGAAGTGGATATTTTATATTTCCTCATTTAAAAGGAACTTGGATGAATTTTTTGCTTTGAAATGAATGACAGGCAATTAATTTTAACTTATTACTTAAAATTCTACAAACCTGCAAATTAAGAACATTGTTTTCTGTTTTCATCTGCTTTGATACAATTTAAAAGGCTTAATCTTAATGATTAAGAGTTTCTCAATCAGCAGGAAAGAAAAACAATACTACAGGCACTGTAAATTGTATTAATAAAGGTCAAGTCTATCCCATATGAGTAAGGCCAATGTGATGCTGTATGGGGCATTGCTGAAAAGTTTTTCATGGAAGGGAAAGGAAGCAGGTGAAGGAAGAGAATCACGAATCTCTCTCTCACCTGAGGCCCCAGGCCCCACTTGCGTGGGTATGTATCACGCTCCATGATTACACGTTTTATTTTTGCAACTACGCCGTGGTCGCACGATGCCATCGTTGCAGTTGTCATCAGTGCTACACCTGTGAAACAGAGAACCACAAACTGCGATTCATCATGTGACACATGACCAAGTTCATTTTCAGGAAGCAAGACTTGGGCAGCCTTGAAGCTCATTAAACTCTCAAGATTTTTTTGAACTCAGAAAAGAATGTCTTAGCTTCACTGAGCCAGAAGCAATCTTCCTCCAAAGGGAATACATGAGACAGACATTCATTCTTAGCAATTAACTCATTTCGATTCTGTTAAGGATGCTAGCATTAATTTTCAGACATATTAACATATATTGCACAAGGAAATAGAGAGAGAACAAGCGAGAGCTGGAAGATGCCAATGTGGAAGGAAAAGGATACACTAGCCCTCTCACTATTCTCATGAAACTCTCATGAGATTTATTTCTGAATGCCTCTCATGTGGTAGAAAACTGCTTTAAAAAAATGTCTGATGTGCACTATGAAAAGAAAGGTGAAAGCAAAACAAGCCATACCAAGGGCAATGCCTTCCCCCTTGGTTGTGATAATCACAATCTCTTGGTTCATTTCAATCCCATCCTCATATCGAAGGACTCCTGGGAGCATGATCTTGGCTCCATAGCAGACAGCATTCACCTATATACACAGAGTACAGAGTCATATTTTCCTGTGTATCAGTTGTTTCTCTCTGACTACAAACAAGGAACTCACTGCTGAATCCTTCATGATGATTCTCTTGTGAGATGTGAGAAGGGCTTCCATGGGTTTGATCACACGACGGAGATAGGTCTCATCCTTGTGATGATCATACATGTATTGGGCATCCATAACATCATGCATTGTCACCATTCCATCATTCTCGGACTGGATTCCTGGATTCAAATTCCCAATCATCATTCCAAAACCAGGTTCATAGTAACTTGAGCAGCTCGATTACAACCAAATTGAGACCTTCCTAAAACAGAATCTTAGCTAAGCATATAGGCCTTGAGTCCAGCCCAAGGGGCCAAAGCATATACAGGGTGCCTCATATGAATAAGGGAAACCAGGAACAACTTTATCTTCCTTCCAATGCGCAGAAACTAAAAAAATCAAGTTTTCCTTTACTCAGGATTCCCCCTTAGGATAGAGGTGCCTTATTTTTTATAAATTATTTCATCCTGAAGTTTGGACCTAATTTCATGAGCTCATAATCAACATATTACAGTATTAGATAAACCAGGTATATTACCAAGATGCAAAGTTTCCTAATTATATTGGAGCTTCTTAGAAGAAGCTCATCATTTCTATATTGAACCTATGAAAGAGCAGTTGGATTTGTTTCTTTGCCAACTATAAAGAAGTCTCCATTATAAGTTAAATTGTTACATTGGGATAATAATGTATGCTAAGAATTAACTTAGATGAATTCATTCACTTATTCTTTAAATTATATTTAATTAAGGCCAAGAGAAAACACAAGGGTAAGCACAGGATCTCAAAGCTATAGACTAATCTATGCATTTAAATAAAATAAAAAAGTCAAAACTACATAGAGGGAATGCTATCGATTGACAAAGGTGCATTATCAATGAAAGACAAAACAGAACTAAATCGGACCTGAGCGGACCCGTCGTAGCTCCTGCATGATGCCACCAACACCCAGGAGAAGACCCAAGTGGACACACATGGTTCGGATGTATGTTCCTGCCTCACATGACACCCAGAAGATTCCTGAAACATGAATCATAAACCATATCTTCTTGATCCCATAAAAACAAATATAAAAGTACAATTAGTAGCCTTTCCCCAACTGAAACAGATATCAGAAATGACAGCAGAGAAAAAAACCTGACAGATCAATGAGGAAATATGAGACACTGCAATTAAGGCCAAGCATCTTATCATCCCATCATCAAGACAAAGCTAAACGATACAAAGAACTCCAATAGAAATATAGAAAATTATTTTCATGACTATACAAGACCTGCTAAAACCATTCCATATTTGAGAAAATATAGGCATTGGCACTTTGACCACTAGTGAGGAGAGGTGTGAAGGGTTAGAGAAAGAGAGAGACTTCTTGAAAATTTGGTGTACACATGCCAAGGTTGGTAAAAATCATGATTTCTTTTAATTAGAAACATCTCCTTTCTTCAACTTGCTTTTATTTTTGCAAGCTCCTTACTTGGCATCTTCATTATCCATTGTTGGTTGCACACCAGAACATGACAGACAATATTGATGCATACATTGTGCATTTTAAAAAATCAAGTTCCACCATCTCATATGCATATGGCTCCATTTCATACCACATTCAAAGCCCTTTTTCTGTTTTTGGTCCTAAGACCAAAAGCAGAAAGTTAAAAGTTTCAAAAGTATTCATGAAGTTAAAAGACATAGCCCCATTCATTTTCTAGTCATGTTCTCCTGATCACTCCTGACCTTGTAGAAAAATGAATAATAGAAATGTGTGAAGGTATGATGCCAATGAGACCTTGGAAACTTTGCAAGTTTATAAAGGTGAGGCACAAGTTCATCTAAGGAAGCATACTGCTTTTGCCAACTACATGATGAAATTCAAAACCACCATTGAATTTTAAAAGTTTTAGAAAAATATCAAGTAAAGAAATTTATTTTTTTTTTTAGATAAATAAATGCATAAAAACAAGAACAAACTGGATAATGAGGTGAGGATTATTCATTATTTTACAATAAAAACAAAATTACAGAACCTTTTCATGAGAGGGTCCTAGACAATGGTTCTAAAACAGGATTCCCAAAATATGGCCTGCAGGCTGGATCCAACACATCATGTCATATGACTCACAGTCATGTAAATAAAATGCAAGAAGGATTTTACCTAGTTTCTTTTCTTATTGCATGATATTGCAAAGAAAGATATTTAAAGAATTTACTCTATATTTCCTCACTATTTAAAGAAATGGGGGGGAAAATATCATTGGCTATCTGGTCTAAAGCATTCTTTTTACTTCAAATGTGACCCACCACTCTGAAACTTGGATACCCCAGCACTAGATGCAAGCAAAAAACTTTCACAGATTAGGAATTTGGAGATCCATAGCCATCATATGTAATCATTGAAATAACAACATTCATGAATATGAATATGGGAAAGTTGATTTAACACATCTGCTGCCAGCCCCTTTTTCAGGCAAGATGGGAAAGTGAGCACATGACCCACCAGAGCATATGGCAGCAAGTGTTAAATCACATTATTTAAATCACCTTAATTTGAATCAACCAACCCTGACATGTATACTATATTATTTAGTTCATCTTCATAAAAAAGATCCAAACCTGATCTGCAATTGTAGCTGAACAATGACCTGTCAAAATTGGTCATCGGAATGGTATTTGGATAGTTTTTATTGTTCAGAAAAGTCAGTTGAGAATGGAATCGGGGTCAAAGAATGCCTATGAGCCAGTCAGAAATCATATGCTCACCCATGTTGCGGTTTGCTTCAAATTCCAACAGCTTGGATTCATATACAGTACGTACTCGTAACTGGCGTTTGACGGCAGAAATCAATGGGGGACGCTGGAAAAGAGCACCTTTCAACTGCTCCAAGCACTGACGTACCTACAGAAATGGAAAGATGTATTTTCAGTTACTGTTGAAAAGTTCATGAAACAAAAGAAAGAACATAACATCCAGAACACACCCGAGAAACACTATCAACAGCTGCATGGAGTCTGAAGATGCAGACATATTCTTTCCCAGCACTTTGCTGTGACTTCACAAGACGTGTAGCTCGTTCAATGCATACAATCAGACATCCTATCAATATGTTCCCAAGCACAACAGAATATTAAAAAAAACAGCTTTGAAAAAAATGAACTCCATCATATATCATTCTGATACTGTAGACTCTCCCACTTACCAGTGACTTTTGGATCAAGGGTGCCTGAGTGGCCAGTCTTTTCTACACGCAGGATACGCTTTATCCAGGCAACCACTTCATGGGAGCTAGGGTTACTAGGTTTGTCCAAATTGATGAAACCTGCCCTGATATACTCCTGAATGGGGCGTTGAAGTGGTGAGCAACCAAATTCCAAAGGGGTATAATGAGATGTCCTCACATTCAGCTCATGGAAATTCTGTGAAACATAAAAATGAAAAATAAACTCAACAGAAATTCAGCAATTATTTGTGACAGCTAAGAGACTGAATATAGGCACATTTTACTTCATGATACTCTTTCTGTCCCTTTTATTTTTCAACGTACAGGGTGGCTCATAAAGACGGCAAACCTTTCAATGCACATTTCAGGTGTGATGCTTTCAAGGATTTTTCTTCTAGTTACATGTAATGGAAAAAAATAAACACTCAGCAACAGAACACTTTTTTCAGACTTTCAGATCTCAAATGGTGACTTAGAAATAAGTTATTGAATTTTATTTACAAAAAATTCAGCATTGCACTCACCAACCACCTATGGTGGAAGGCACATCTGATCATCCTTGCAATATCTACTGAGGTCAACATTTCCCTTTCCCTTCTTGTGAATGTTGGGCCATCAAGGGGATGTTGGGCTGAGTTTTTCACTCATTTTTTGTAACCAAAATTCAATAATAATTTTTTGCTAAGTCAATGAGATATTTCAAGCCTGGAAAAAAGCATTTTGAAGCTTAGTTTTTCTTTTTTCCATTACAAATAACCAGAAAAGAAATTCCTGGAAAGCATCACACCTAAAATGTGAATTGAAAAGTGTGCCCATCTATTTGGTCCACCCTATATATACTAGGAGCTTCAAAAGCCTGTAATCAATGAGCAAAAAGAGAACTGGTCAAGATGCTCCTCTAATTACATGTCTCTTGATCAACAATTCCTTTAAGACTTGAGATACCTTGACATAATTTTTTAAATGTTACAATATTAAATTATTATTATTATGATATATAAACACTATTTGAAGATTGACAATGGACATATGGAAGGTGATCCAATGGGTGCCAAATTAAGCAATTTCATAGCAGGATTTCCTCAAGTAGAGATAATCTACATGATTTTCCATGGTGATTGTCATGATGGTAACTTGACTTTCCCCATGTAACACCAGCTTATGCCAATTGCCTGACATGAAAAGCCTAAGGTAATTATGAAATTCCACTTCCCACAGATCAACTGTCTACTCATTATCATCCATGGTCAGTGCAACATAAATATAATGGGGATCACAGGTTGGTGTCCACATGTATTCCAAGGTTAAACATATCAAGATGAAACACATGATACAAATTCTGAAAAGGAAAAGTTTAATGCAGACATCATACATTTCAGCTACCTTGAGAAGTAGAGGCCATTTGCTTGTGTCAAGGGCAACAGGTTCACCCCCTAGTGGTTTCACTCTAAATTCAGTGGAGAGCTGGACCTCTGCAAGACTAACTTCAGACTTCTTCTTCTTTTTCTTCTTTTTGGCTGAGCCATCATCATAGTAGGTAATGTTCTCTGCCACACAGGAATACCATATTATGTTACACACATCTACATCTAAAGAATCAGAGTACAAAATATGATAGGCTCAAAAAGAACTAATGCTAAAAGGCACATCCTTTGGGGGAAAAAATTGAACTATTTAGAGTCTCCAACCAGAAGATAAAGATTCCAAAATTCAGATTCCGTTCTGGGTAACAGTTTAGTGCATAACTCCTAGGGAAATTACACTGCTCCAATCTCCAATGTTTTCAGACAAATTCAACAGAAAAAATAGGAAATCCAAGGATTCCTTTAACTTATTTATTAATTCCAACCTAACCTAATTTAACCTGGCTTAACCTTTGGGGAAACACAATAGCTGAGAGTACGCGCTAAACCATAACCTCAGCTTGCTCCGCCGATAGGGACGAAAAACCCCTAAGTGGTCACGAGCGCCATAGGTAGGCTTAATTCAAGGCTAATCTGAATCCTATTGCAGACCTGCATTTCTAATGCATATCTTTTTCAGAACAAGACAGTGCAATATTCCTAGCATAGGTCTAGGCCTATGAGGCACTATTTCACGCTCAACACAGCATAGTCCCAAGCCTAACCTGAATTATTTACAGAAGGCGTAGGCAAAACTTAAGTCCATGAATGTTCTTCTCACCCGTTGTGTCGTCCATGGAGTATATGCCGAGTAGAGTCAACTATAATTGTGAGTGCGTGAATACGAAATCTTCACTCAAGTTCGCCTTCTAATCCCAGATAACTGATGTGAAACCGAGTCCAAGCAGCGATGAGCACGTGGGACGCCGACTTTCCGCCATTGACGGGAAAACGGATTCCACGTGCAAGACGGAATCAGTGTTGCAAACGGCTCTCAGGAGTCAGGACTTCCTTTTTTTCCTTTTTTTCTTTTACCCGTTTTGCACCTATATATATACGAGAACCTATTTTTACTTGAGGCGTCCGGGTGAAAAAGAGAAAATTGCGGCTTCTTTTGAGGTGTCCATTTAGTGACATCAAGAGGCGATTTCGCCCATTTCGATATCACGTGTCGAGGTCGAGCGTTCCTTAATTTTAAAGGCTCTGCTATTCCAGTGTTTTTCACTTGAGGCAGACTTTCTTTCACTCGCACATGAGACGTTCCTTATGCGTGAGAGTCGAAGCCAAATGAAAAATACCTCACTCAAGAAAAAAAGCTTTAAGTGTCCAGCAACAATGATCATGAAGTCGCAAAATGAATTTGCCTTTATCAACTGACGAACTAACCAAAATCTACTGCTGAGACCACTGAGGTAGAGAAGGTCCGCCGTGAGCGCCGCCTCTAGAGACCTCTATCTCAGTGGCTGAGACCAGTGGCGTATTATAAGGGGGGAGGGGTGGCCACCCAACCCTGGCTCCATGAGACAGAGCCCGGCGCAAGGTAGAATATAAGGTAGTCTCAGCTGGTTGCTTTTCATTGGCTGCCGCCCATGACGTCACCGTGGAAGGATCAGGGAGCCATGTGCTTGAACTCGCCTTTCTGTGAAGTCCAACAGCTTAACTGCTTTCTCATCCTCTTATAAGTTTCTGCTATATTTCTGCTATATATATCTGCGAGAGTCATTAAAGAAACCGCGAGAGAAATATCGGTTTCGCTAAGAATTATATTCGATAGCAGCTTTTCGCACGGGGAAGTACCTAAGGACTGGAGACTAGCAAACGTCGTACCGATCTTTAAGAAGGG